TAGTTTCGTAAACCAAAGAATAAAGATCAAAACGTCGAATAGTCTTCACTAAACTGAAGCCTGCTCAGAAAAGTAAACTCTTAAAGTATAAGGACACGTTTATGCGGATTAAAATTAACTTTCGACTTTAGTAAAAAAAAATTAAGAGCTGGATCATCAGATTGGTAATTTTAAATTGTTCTTTAAGTTGACGCTGAGAAACACAAACGGGATCGAGAACCATACAGGTAAAACTACAGTAAAATCGTTTCAGTGATTTATAAAAAATACCATCCATTAGACAGCCGTCATGTTTTTACCAGTAAACCACGTGGTTTTCCTTCTTCGGTGGTATTTCCCACACTCCATCGGGCCCCTGAAGGCAGCTGCTTTCGTGTCCTACAACATGGCGGCCCCGGAGCCCAGCCGGTGCTGTTTCTTCGTGCAGAAGAAGAAGCGTTTCTGTAAGATGGTGGCGGGAAAAGGCAGAAAGTACTGCGGGGAGCACGCGACCATGGTGAGTTCACGGATACAGTCACTTGCTCAGGTGTGATCTGGCTCCAGGTGGACCGGTCAGGAACAAGAAGGGGCCATCCCCAAAGTATGCCCACAAAGTCGCAAAGATGAAAGTGTCCAAAGTGTGTCGGTCTGCTGAAGCATGATGAGTTCCTTTCACTGGAACTAAGGGGTGGAACCCGACTCCTGGAAAACACCCCACACTATAATACCCCCTCCACCAAACTTTACGCTTGGTACAGTGAAGTCAGACAAGTACCGTTGTCCTGGCAACCACAAACCTACTCTCATCCATCGGAGACACGTGATTGGTCACTCCAGAGAACACGTCTCCACGGCTCTAGAGTCCAGTCGCTCATGCTTTGCTATTTGTTTCGTGATGTAAGGCTTGGATGCAGCTGGTTGCCATGGAAACCCATTCCACGCATAGTTCTTAAAATAATCTGAAGGCCACGTGAAGTTTTGGACGTCTGTGAACTCTGTGCACCATGATCCTCAGCATCCTCTGAGCCCGGTCTGTGATTTGCATGGCCGACCACTTCATGGCTGAGTTGGTGTCATTCCCAGTCGTTTCCACTTGGTTATAATCCCACTAACAGCTGGCTGTGGATATCGCAAGGACACTTCTAGCGTCCTATCACAGCACGACGCCGGACCTCACTCAGCTCCCGAGAGGGAGCCATTCTTTACAAATGTGTATAGAAGCAGTCTGCATGCCCAGATGCTGATTTTATACACCCGTGGACATGGAAGTGATGGAACACCTGAATTCAAGGATTTGGACGGGGGAGTGAATACAATATAGTCTTAATACCTCACTGTCTGGAATGAAGTCGGGTATCTTATTACAGATCAAACCACACATCACGATGACATGTGCACGACATTAATGTAATGCATGCACACACAGAATGAAGATCTCTTTATTCAGATTATACTGTACACCTGTGTATACGACACACGTGTGGACATACCATAGGAATCATATAGCTTGCAATGGCATGATGATGATCACAAGGTTATGCCTGAAGAGTCAGCGGTGGCTCAGTGCAGGTGAGCCGTTTGTAGCTGCTAGAGTTGGAACATTTGAAGCTGTATGAAGAAATCTGATGCATTAATTTATTTGCAGGCTCAGTGCTCGTGATTGTGAGGTAATGGGGTTCTGTATGAGGTTTAACAGCACGGGTCAGTCTGCGCTCTGGACTCACTGCTGCAGATGTTTTTGTGGGGATTTGGCACTGGGCTTGCCACCATAGTAGAATACAATGGTCAATGCCACGGAGAAGACTTTGATCCCATCCTGCAACAATAGAAGTGATGAAGAAGAAGTCGTAATTTTTTCTTAATTTTTCCAGATCCAAACTTGCCATGGATACACCGGACAACGTCCTGAAAAAAACTCACAGTGGAAAGCTACGAGCGTAAATGAAGCGATGACGAGTTCGTCCAGATTTCGGAAATCAGTGGGGCGGTCTGAGCTCACATCTGAGCAGGCAGACTGACCCGTGCTGCAGATATCAGCGAGTTTGAGAAGATCAGTGATGTCGATCAGCTGTGATGTCATGAGCCTGTGATGTGTTTCCTGTTTCCAGGAGGAGGACGGGAGTGGCAGCAGGAGGATCGTCTGTCCTCTGGACCCCAAACAGTGAGTGACAACACATCAGTCATCAATCAGGTCATTGATCGGCTGACAGGAAGCTGATCACTGGTAGCTATTGATCCTACTCTGCTTGTTTATGTGTTTCAGCACCGTGAGTGAAGACAAACTCCAGAAACACTTGAAGAAATGCAACTCCAGAGAGAAAGCCAAACCGGTGAGACGCTATTGATCCATCAGTTGATCAGCGATTGCGTGTTTATCCAAGTGTTTCCACAGAGATGAACGTTTGATCTCCTGCAGGTTTACTTTGTCGAAAACATCAACGCTGGATCAGCTGATGGAGATGAGACGCTTCGACAGGTAACGACTTTTGTGGCAAAAATTGATCAAAGAAGAACTGGTAAAGTAAAAGATCTGCAGACACTTTGATTCACAGTGCCTCATCCAGGCAGACATTCACTGATCTCTAAAGACCAACAGCAGCTCGATTCACACACACACTGTCAGGAAACAGTTTGTTTCACAGCAGAGGAAGCACCGAGGATGGACAGCAGCGTCTACACACACAATCACACACTTCTTCATTACACACAAACCAGCACAGTAAATACTTTAATAACCACTGATGACAGTGATGGTGACATCATGATAGTGACATCATAATGGTGACGTGTTTCAGGTGAGTCTGTCTGAGCTCAGCAGGACTGAGTTGGAAACTCTGGTGGATAAACTGAAGACAGCGTTCAAAGGTGAGCTGCTGAGATCCGGTGATCAGTGATGGCTGAAGTACTCACAATCTCACACGACTGCTTCAGTTTGGCTGATGTGACACAAAACATCACAAAACTGACAGTCTTTTCACTGAGTAGGTTAGGATTGGGATTAGATTTAGTTTATATTTAAACTGGGTGTAAATTAAGTTTAGGTCAGGGTTGGTTTTAGTTTTTGCTTAGGTCAGGGTTAAGTCAGCTTTAATTTGGGGTCAGATCAGCTTTAGTTTTGATTTATTTGGGGTTAGGTCTCATTTCGGTTTAGTTTCAGGTTAAGGTTTAGTTTGAATTTAGGTCAGTTTTAGTTTGAAATTAGGTTTAGTTTTGGTTCAGGTCAGGTTTAGCTTTGGTTGAGTTTCAGTTCAGGTCATGTTTAGTTCGGGTTTAATTTGGGTTAGGGTGACTCTTAAAGTTTTTGGACATTTTGTAAATCAGCGGATGTTCTCCTGGTGTCCCTGCTGTTGTTGTAGGACTGCAGTGCGATCTGGAGGACAGCGTCCAGTCTCACCCCGCCCTCCACCATGAGCTCCACAACCCAAAGAATGGAGACTCCGCCCACAAACACCTGAAGCAGCAGGTAGACTAGGTGACAGCACCATTAGTCTGTGTATTCATCTCATTTCCATGCTGAAGAATTAAACTGAGAAGTAAAACTAATCTCCGTCTGACCTGCCGGGTGTGCTCAGTCTTCCATCTTAGGTCACATGGAGGAGCTGGGGCTGCTGGGAAGGGGGCGGTGCTTTGTGGAGTTCGGAGCAGGTCGAGGGAAGCTGTCCCACTGGATTCACGAGGCCCTGAAGACTTGCGAGCATCTGAAGACCTGTGAAGACCTGCAGCTGCTGCTGGTCGAGCGCTGCAGCACCCGGTTCAAGGTACAGCCCCGATTCTGAAATCCACTCCACCCTAAACTCAAACCCAAAACCCCGACAACCCAAGTACCTTCAGAACCCCGCCTGCTCACCTGCTGCTTTCCATATTTTCATTTCTGGCTTTGAAATTAAAAGTGGAAGCGTCGCTGTCGCATGTCGGCGTTCCTCTGATTCACACCTCACACACTGATGGTGTGTTCATCTTTTATGTACAGACTGTGATTAAGACCGAGAGCAGCTGATCAGTTTGATTGATAGGTGAAACAGGTGCGTTCTGTTGCAGGTGGACGGGAAACATCAGGATGCTGGAGTTCAGTTTGAGAGGCTGCAGGTGGACATTCAGCATCTGGATCTAAGTAAGACAGGAACATCTGGACACTGTGGTGCTCTGACCTCTCCTGACCTGTTTCTGTGATGCTTTCAGGTAAAGTCCCTCTGCTCTGCGAGAAGAAACTGCCTCTGGTCGGAGTTGGTAAACACTTGTGTGGAGCGGCGACAGGTGAGAACAGCCAAAAAACTGTCAGCTCTGATTGGTGGTAAGCAACATCTGGCTCATAATTCCGCAGTAACTGCTGCTCTACGCTGGTTCCTCCATCTCCATCCTGCTCTCTGATGGGAGTACACCTCCACCTGGGCTGAAGCATGATGGGTTTGGTTTTACCTGGCAGGGCAAAACCTGGAGCTCAGTTTATGTTTTTCTCAGAACTTCAGCTGAAGTACACCAACATCCACCTGGAAACTAGCATTTCTGTAGTACTTGTCTAGTCTCATCATATTCTGGTTCCGTTCTCAGATCTGGCTCTGCGCTGTTTGTTGGAAACTGCAGGACAGTCGGAGGAAGAAGAACCGCCCCATAAACGCCTCAGACCATCAGAACCATCTGAGCCAAGGTCAGGAGGGGGTCTTAGATCAGCACCAACAGGTTGTGGTCCTGGCCCAGTGCTGGGCCTGACAGTGGCACTGTGCTGCCACCATCGCTGTGATTGGCGTCACTACGTCGGGCAGCAGTTCTTTCTGCAGAGAGGACTCGGGGCGCGGGAGTTCTCTGCTTTCTGTCGGATGTCCAGTTGGGCCACATGTGGACTCAGACCGACCAATCAGAGAGGAGATGGCGAAGAGCACGAACCAGCAGAAGAGACGGACGCTGTGAATGGGTAAATATTTGACCTCTGACCCTGAAACCTCTCACAGATGGTTGTATGGACCCAGCCCGAAGTAGAAAGTTTCAGTAGTTCAGAAAAAAAATCAGATTTACTCAATGAAGTCTTCGTTCCTCTGGTTTTATTTTAGAGCAGCTTTGCATGATCCACAGTTAAGAATAATCCCTCTTTACTGATTCACATCAGCACCTTCAAACACCACATCAAGCAGCTTGCGCTGGGCTTTAAGGAGGTTTGACCAACCTATCAGCACAAGTCAGCAGCATGTCAGTGTTTTATGTTCAGAATCAGCTGCAGAGACAAAGTGAAGGACAGGAGAGTGGATTTATTTCAGTTCACACATGTGATCCATAGATTCATGAAGCAGCTGGAAATCCTTTTTCTAAATATTTATTAGCTCTATTCAATGTAAGGTCTGTGACAAGCTGATGTCAGCGTGTCACACAGGCTAAACACGGAGGACTGACACTGCATATACACTGATCTCATCAGTGCACAAGTGATGAACATGAAAATCAAGCTTCAGAGCAGGAGGGTCTACAGGAAGAGAAGGAGGGGCTATAGGATGAGATGGCGGGGCTACAGGAAGAGAAGGAGGGGCTAGAGTTTAATGTTCCTAGTGTATAATAATCAGGACTGTCTGCATGTTTACACTGAACTAACACACTGTGTTTGTGTGTGTGTGTGTCTATGTGTGTGGACGTCTGTTCGTGACAGGTTTCTGTCGGCTTCTGAGCGTGAGCAGCTCGGCCGTCTATGCAAACAGCTGATCGACCACGGCAGGTGTCACTTCCTGCAGATGAAAGGATTCAGCAGCAAACTGACTCGTTACATCAGCAGTGATGTCACGCTGGAGAACGTCCTGCTGACCGCCGTACCCCTCACCCCCCACTCCTCCTGATTGTTTGATTGTAAGCTGCAATTTTGAGTTTTAAGTTACAGGAAGTGAAACTGAACATGCTCAGGTGTTTTCTGTTTATATTAAAGTGTTTTGTTCCTCATGTACATAAAACGTTTGCAGTCTTCCAACAAGCGACGCTCTGAGCATGCTCACTAAAATCTGCATGTCACATGGCACAATCATAGATTATTCCATAGCTGGACAAACTTCTGGAGTTTGACTCGTCCTGCTCGTCCACCCAAAGTCTTTCAAAATAAAAACACAAGTGTGGATCTGTGGAAGTGTCTTTAAGAGGGAGAAGCTCAGAAGAAGAAAAAAAGACATGGGGTCGTATTTCATGCTGAGGATTCATCATTGGACTCATCATCGGACTCTGAAACATTCAAAGAGAAAATCATGTCAGCTGAAACCAACAAAACGTTCAAATGATGTCGGGTTGTTCCTCGTATACGGTGCCATTTCAGCCCCAAAGACAGAAAAGAGGGTTTGATATAAACACGGGCCAAATATTCTGTATGCCTCCATTATTTTAGCCAAAACTGAGTCAGTGATCTGAGTTCTTGAAATCCAGACAACCCCAACTTCGAATATTCTACACCACATTTTTGTATGAAAACACTTTTAATGATTAAAGTCTTTGAGTCGTGTCCCTGAATTGTTATGGAGATCCCTCTGAAAGGGTCCCCTGATTGGTCCTCTGGGACAGTTTCCCTGAATTACAGTGTAAACATGTTGAAAAACCTTGGTGTGGTCTACACGTCTGAGTAATAACGTCTGATTTAAACATGAAACGTCCTGCTTGTTAATTTTTCTCACAGTAAAAGGCAGGTTATGCATAGTTTTAATGAAAGCATGAGTTGTGGGCTGCAATCTCTAAAACATTCTTTATATTCTAAACATGTCAGGCAGCAACGAAACTATTCAAAACTAAATGTTAATTATGGTAAATTCAAAATGAACTGACATTTTCTTTTTTTTTATGTTGTGCTTTATATATAATTTATATAAAAATGTAAAGGGTAGAAATAATAAGCTTAGTGGCTGGTTGGGTTTTGCAGCTGTGCAGTGATACAACTAATGTAAAACTAGGAAAATATGAATTTATCATCAAATATTTATCCAGCCATCCTCTTATCCTTTTCAGGGTTGTGAGGGGGTTGGAGCCTATTTCAGCTAACATAAGGCAAGAGGCAGGGTATGCCTTGGACAGGTGGTCAGTCTGTCGCAGGGCTAATACATAGAGACGAACAACTGTTCACATTCACACCTATGGGCAAATTAGAGTTTCCAATTAACCTAACCCCACTAACTGCATGTCTTTGTACTGTGGGAGTTCCCGGAGAGAACCCACGCAAGGAACAGTGCTAACCACCGTGCCCCCATGCTGCCCCAAATAGTTATGTAAATTTAAAGCTATATGTGTGCTGTTGGTATCAAACCCAAAAGCTGATACTGGCAAGCACCTTCAGTTTAACCTGCAGACAGCTGTGAGAGACGTCACTTCATGAAATCCATAAAATTTAAATTCAGATTTATACATCCAGCTTCTAAAGCTCTTTTTTGTATTTAATAGGTGTAATTTTTTTTAATGGTGAATTAAGGATGATTGGGACATTTCATGTGATCGATCTAATGAAACTTGGTTGGGTATGGGGCAGGTTTCTCTGTTTTTTCACAGTGAACTAAATAATTTTTTTCTATGTATGTTTATGGTTAACTGAAGTGAGTAAATTTAATTTTAAAAAAACAGGTCAAATTTAATTCAACTTACTTTTTAATCATAAAAACGTGAAGTGGAATGACTTGATCATTCCAACACTTCTTTAAATAGATTTACAGAGTAAGCAGGAACATTTCAGCTCTTAGAAAATGTAAATACAAAAGTGACGCCACATTCACAACGCTTATTAACGCCACTCCTGGAACAGGAAGTGCATATCCTGAGCCGGTCCAGTGTATTATTCTAGTATTTTAAGTAGCTGTCGTTCACGTGAAATGCTGAAGTGTGACTTTTTTCCACGTTATCACCCTGAAATGGTGCCGAATGGCAGGAACAACGCAGTGGTTATTGTTGACATCACTCTTTAATAACCTGAGGTCAGAGGGGTCAGTCGGGGTTTAGCTTCCTGTTTGTTGACGTCGTTGAGGGTCACTGCCCCCATGAGATGCTTGGCACACACACAGGTTAGCGTGTTAGCGCACGCAGGTCAGTGAGCATGCTCAGTACTAACGGTTGACGCAGTGCACGTTGAGCACGGCGTACGCTCTCTTTCGGGCCTCCTGGATGTACATGAGCATGAACTCTTTCCCGAACATCTCCCTGACATCTTCCTCCTCTTCATCCTCAGGCACTGCCTTCCTGCTCGGCAGCGTCACGTCCAGAGTCAGGGGGTTATCCCGGAAGTTCACAAACCTGCTCCGAGGAAGCGAAGAAGAAGTGAGTGAGGCCAGACAGACGGAGGGCAGGTGCGTGAGGATGGCCGGACTCACCTGAGGTTGGACATGCCCTCCATGAGCGGTGGGATGTCTCTCAGCCTGTTGCTGCTGAGCACCAGCGTGTCCAGGCTCCTCATTCTGGCGATGTTCTCCGGAAGCTTCTCCAACTCGTTCCTCTGCAGCCACAGAGTGTGTAGCGCCTCCATCCTGAGGACAAACACATGATCACTGGCTGTTGACAGAAAGGGGGTGGAGTGTTAAGTCAAATTTTGTAAAATTTGTAAAGTCTTAGTTCAAACTATATGATCAAAGACATTTCTTTGTCTGACCACCTCTCCAGCCAATTTGGTGCTGGGGGAGGCTGATGTGGGTTTTATTGTAGATACATCGTATCTGAAGGTTCTGTTTGATGTTTGGTAAGCTTTCTGCTTTTATGATCCTTTTGGTGAGCAGGAGGTCACAAGTTCTTGCACACATGCTTACACGTGCACACACACACACACAGTGCCTTGTCTGTTAGAACCATGGGGGGGTTTTACGGTGGGAGGTGCTTGTGCTGTGATGTGTATTGTAACAGTTTGTCAATAAATAGCTGCGAGGAGAGCTGCTCTTTGAAGGAGTTGGTCTGGAGACAGGTGAGGAGCATTTAGCTTCACAGCCTGGTTCTGACCAAGCCTTTCCTCGTTAGCGAGTAAAAGACCGGTTGAAGATGTTCTGTCTTGTTTTTCGTTCTTCATCAGGAATAAGTCTCTAAACTAGCAGTGCCTGTGGAAACACAGACTCAACATGGAGCTTAGGCCATGTCCCAGCTCCTACCTGTGTATGTCTTCAGGTAAGTGATGCAGGCAGTTTCCTCCCATGTCGAGCCACTCGAGCGCCGGCAGGGCGAGCAGGCAAGCAGGCAGGCAGCTGAAGTCGTTCATGGAAAGATCAACATGCTGCAGCCGCGACAGCGTCCCAAGCTGAATGTCAGAGAGAGAAGCACACCTGAGCTCAGACTGGACCAGAACCAGGCCTTACCTTTCAGGTGTATGGTAACGAGGCAGTGTTGGTTTAGCAGACACTGTCTGCTGGGTTCTTTGCTCTCCTAAATCACTTCCTGCTTCCTCTAAACTGAAGACAGGAAGTCAGCTCGTGAACACCCCTGGTACAGCCGGGTCCAAGTGTGCAGACGGTTCAGGCACTCACCTGGTCTGGTAGCTCATTTAGGTCCCGGTTCATTGTCAGCTCCAGCCTCTCCAGGCTCTCACACCCGCTCAGCTCTGCCGGAACAAACGGGATTCTGTTGTAGCTCAGCAGCAGCTCTCTGAGCCGGGTCAGCTTTCCTGAGACCAAAACCAGGTAAGGTCACAGCACACAGAACCAGAAAACGTGGCTCACAGGCAGATTAAATCGAGGTGAGCTCACCGATCTGTTTGGGGATCTCAGCGACTCCGTTCCGGGACAGATCGAGCACCAGAAGGTTCTGGAAGCTGGAGATGAAGTGAGGGATCTTCAGTAGTCCGGTCCGGTGGATCTGCCATTCCTGGACCTGACTGAGCTGGATCAGGCAGCCTGGCAGAACCTGGAAACCAGAGCAGCGAGCTCACAATGCGCTGAAGTGACAGTTCAGTGTGCTTCCTGCGAGGGGGGCGTTACCTTCCACTCCTCCTGCTCGATCCGGAGGACCAGCCGGCCGTCCTCAGTCTCCAGCTTCTGCTTTAGCCGGGCCAGCGCCGCCCGGTCTTCCCAAAGCCCGACTCCAAGTCTGGACCAAAATCACCAAGTGATGAAACCTCTTCGGTCTGACTTGGGACATCACTTCAGTTACCTTTTTTTCCAGACTTTATTATTTCGTTTTATTTTCTCATCATGTTTTTCTCTCTAATGTGTTTGATCTTTATGATTTTATTTTTACACTTTTTTGTTTTAAATTATTTGTTTCCCTCTGTCCTGATACAGTTTGACTGATGCAGAGATTCAACATGGCTGCTTTCAGCCAGACCATAGACTGTATGTAAGAGATGGACATAACCACTGAGTTCATCCCCCCTCTGAAACTGACTCATCTTTTTTCAGGTTCACCAAATTTTCATTTACTCTATGGTAGAAACTGCGAGAGAAACAGGAAGTAGGTGGGACTAGAGGTCCCAACACTGAAGATGAACCAGTTTAAACCAAAGGATTATGGGTAATTTTTATAAGGTTCATAGAGCGCTTTTTGGAGATCCCCACTTTGACCAGCACTGTATACCAATAGAAAGTGTGCTCAAGTGACTGGGTGTGGTCTGACCTGCCTGTGGCCCCGCCCCTCGTGGTCCTCCTCTTGTGCTCCTCCTCATGCTCCTCCCTCCTCCTCCTGATCCTGGTCTCCCACAGTGCTTTGATGGAGCTCACCGAGCTGCATGCTACCACCACGCCCACCATCATCACCACTTCCTGTCAACCTTGTGATGTTACAGCACACAAGTGGACATGTAGGATAACCTATCTGAGCTGTAGCCCCATCCCCACGCTGACCATCTTGTGACACTGATTATTGATCTCCAGCAGAAATCATGTTTCAGATCAATTTACTGACCATTAATTAAAAACCCATCAAATTCACTCTGCTCAAACATCAAAAACAACCAGAGACAGTTTCCAGCTACTGAAACAGAGAAGTTTCAGTCCTGCAGTAGGAGCAGTACCAGTACAACAGCAGTATTAGTACTGTAGCAATATATGAAGTATTACCTGCTGAAGTACACGGATATTACTCGTCACCTTGTGGCCGAGCTGCAGCTCTCCTCCATGCTGCGTCCTGTCTGCTGAAATCTGACCTCGGCTCTCCTCGATAATTATAGCCTTCAGGTGACACATCACATGACAGATTACAGACATGCGGTCATATGACCGGCTGTCACTGCATCTGAGGACAGACCCACACTAAAAATACCATCAGCTGATCGGGACAAGAGCAGCAGGTTACTGAGGGTTACCCCCCACCTTTCCCTTACCCTTTCCCCAACATAGGCTCACAC